ACAGATTGTACCATACCGACATTACGTAAAAGAGAGATGTAAATACATTTTAAAAAACTGCTGCTGATACAATAACAATCACCATTATTAGTAATTTTCACTATTTTCTCCAACAGGAAACTATTTTTAGTGTATGAAAATACACAAGCCTTTAACAGAGTTATGAAGATTAACTCGTAAGGTATACTTAATTTCAGGGGTATGCACTTATAAAAAACCAAGATGCAACTTTAGCAAAGCCCTGTGTTTAAATTTAATATCCAAAATGATATTTTATGACTGTTCCAAATATTTTGCTGATTAATCAACAATATCTGTCTGTATCATTTCATAATTGGATTTGAACTTGTTTGATTTGAAAAAGCTTTGGATTCTGTTGAGCCTTTTTTGGCCCGATTGTCCTGTGAAAGCTTGAGATCATGTTAGTTGTTAAATAATGCTTTTCCTGCAGGTCCTGGTCGCCCCTTCAGAGCCATAGACTTCTCACACAAAGGTCCAGCATTCATTACCTGGCACAGGTACCACCTTCTGAGCTTGGAAAGAGAGCTTCAGGTAATGTTATCCATTTGCCAGTCAAGCATAAGTGCAACTTAGATTTTGTGTAAACAGAAATAAATAAATATTTTATTATTGATTTTTTTTTTTTCTGCAGAGACTGACAGGCAATGAGAACTTTGCAATTCCTTACTGGAACTTTGCCACAGGACAGAGTGAGTGTGATGTGTGTACAGACTCTCTGCTTGGAGGCAGGAACCCAGACAACCCTTTCCTCATCAGCAACCAGTCCAGATTCTCCAGATGGGGGGTGGTGTGCAACAGGTCAGCACAATGAACGACAGAATAATACTCTGCCTTGGAAAAGCTTTTGGCATTTTGTCATGTTGCAGTTATCAACTTCAATGCCTTTTATTTGAAATGTCACGATCCAATGGGTGGAGACAAGTACTGGAAGATTCGGTGACTTTTTGTGTCGAGTTGTGACGTTAACGTGATAGTCGCAGCCAACAGATGCATCATGGTTTCCAGATTTTAGACATCAACTAGACAGAGATATTTACCCCTCTGGAATCTTGTGTTAGTGCTTTGTGTGAAAACACACATATAGGCAAATATGTTTGGCCATTTTTATTTGCAAAAGGGCTCAAAATCAGTCTGGTCGGATGGAAAGGATCAGTAAGCACCAGTTGCCACATTTTCTCAGTTGGATTTCAATTTTATTGGTCTATTTTAACACATAAATTTGCTCTGTTATAAAACACTCAGAGTTAGATTTGGAATCGTTGTTTGATTGTAAACTGAACTTCAGCCCTTGTCTTAAGTATTTGCAACTTCTAACATGATTTCTTACAGGTATTTAGCTCTACCACCTTCTTGCTATCTTTGGGCAGTTTCTTTGATTTGAAAATAAGCATCTCCAAGACAAACACCGGCATCACAAAGTGTCACTGTTATGGTTCCGCTTTCAGGTTGATGTTAACATCAACCTGAAAGGTTAAAAAGATCAGTTTTACTCTCATCCAACATTTATGTTGGCTGTTCACAACAATTTCAAATAAAATACATCAAAGTTTGATGATTTCACGTGACAAAATGCAAAAACAAAAATCAGTGTGCATAAATATTTTTCCAAGGCACTGGTAGCTCTTGCAGCTAGGTTGAATGTGCATCCAATTCTTTCTTTAAAAGAGCCATTTTTTTTCTCCTTCTAGTTTGGATGATTATAACCGTCTGGTGACTCTTTGCAATGGCACGAATGAGGGTTTTATTCAGAGAGGAATGGTGAGGAGAACCAACATGTCTCTACCCACCATGAGTGATGTCAGAAGCTGTTTAGGCATCAGAGAGTTTGACAGTCCTCCATATTTCACCAACTCCTCCTTCAGCTTCAGGTAAAACTCAACAGTTTGTGTTATGAATGTGTTTTTTGGCTATTAGGCCTATAAAAAATTGAAGGGTTTGGTAGTCATAGGTCATTGATTAGTTTGTTTAAAATGAACAGAAATGCACTTGAAGGGTACGAAAAGCCAGATGGCGAACTGGATGATACGGTCGACAACCTTCACAACCTCGTTCACGCTATGCTCAATGGAACCAGCTCTTTGTCCCACTCTGCAGCCAATGATCCCATCTTCCTGGTAGGAATTCAGCCGCGCATAATACAATTTGAGTATACAGTTAGATTCAAACCAAATGACCACGCTTTTCTCGTCATTTCAAATTTAAAGGTGCTCCATTCTTTTACCGATGCCATTTTTGATGAATGGATGCGCAGGTTTGTTCCATCCAACGCCACCTACCCGGATGAGATGGCTCCTATTGGTCACAACAGGGACTACAATATGGTTCCTTTTTTCCCTCCGATCACTAATGAAGAGCTCTACGTCGCATCGGATCGGCTGGGATACTCCTATGCCATTTCCCTCGATGGTGAGTGAATACTGAGCTAATGAAAAAAAAAAAAAAAAAAAAGTATGATTACATAACTTTTTTAATGTGTACAGAACTCAAAAGTGCAACAGTTCAAGCAATATGACTGCTTAAAATTGTGCACATGTGATTGTTGAAATAAAACTGAAAATATACACATAAAGAAACTAACAAATAATTATTGAAATATTTTAGTGCTTCAATTAATTATGTAAGACCAGTTTATAAATGCTTAAGTGATTAAAATAAATGGAATGATTCATTATGAATGTTAAATAGACTGAATAATTATTTCTTTATTATTTCTGTTTTCTGTTAGTAAGTGGGGCTTGCAACATTATAGTGTTATGCAAACTATAATAGTTTACAGTTAGATGTCGTCTTTATCACAGCATGAGTCGTCATATCCTAACCCCACTGATGATACAAACCTTTGGATTTTCAGAGTATCTCTCCTTTCTTTCCACAGATGCAGATGAGGGAGCCGTGTTTGTGCTGGGTTCCACGTTGGGAGGCGTCTTTGTCGGCCTGCTGGTGCTTCTCCTTATCTTTGTGCTCTACCTGCGCCAGCGGAGAAACAGAGGCTTTGAACCGCTGATAAGAGCCGATTTCACAAACAGGAAGTACACAGAGGAGGCCTAGCCGTCACCTGTTGTTCCAAAATGCACCTCAGTGCTCAAACTTACCTCAGAGCAATGGAGCTGTCAGTCTGTGATGTTAGAAAATTACTGATCCTAAGACTGAATAAAAAAGAAAAACCTCCTTTTAGATATTAAGACTAACCGTAGAAGAGTTCTCTGAATCATGCACAGTGCTTTGCAAAGGTATTCATCTTAAAATTGTGTCATTTTACTACCAAATTTTGGAAAAGCTGTTCACTTTTTGATTGAATTAACCCCCCCCCAAATTAAAACTTGTTGGTTAAGCCCATCACAGTGTTTCACTGTCCTACATCCTACAGTATCATATGTCCGTCTTTCAACAATGGATTTCTTCTTGCTATTTTTCCATAAAGGCAAAATTTGTGAAGTGGACAACTAATGGTTGTTAAATCGAAAGGTACTCCTAATTGTTTTGTTGATGAGTTCCCACAGGCTTATTAGCAACTTCTCAGGAAATGTTCTCCTTACCCAGATTAGTCAGATGGACATGCCTTGGTAAGCTTGTAGTGCCAATCCATTAATTTTTAGATGATTAATTTAAAAGTTAATCAGATATGCTAAAAGCTTGGGATATTATTTATTTACCTGCTTTACATATCACATAGCTCTGACCTTTCTATTGTCTTCCTGATGCAGTTTGTTTAGAAACCCTCAGTCCACTAGAGACATGTGCCAAGTTGACTACACTGGATTTTATTTAGGGGCACCAGACTAAAACAGTTTTGATGCAAATGCATGCCACTGTTAAGATTTTCATTTGTAAAAATAAAACAATAAATCTGTCGTCTTCATTCCATTCCACATTTCTGCTTTATTTTTGTTGTGGGTCTGTTTTATAAAATCTCAACAAATTCAGCGAAGCTTGTGATTTCAATGAAACAAGTAAAAAGGTTTCTGCAGTTTTGAAGGTCACTGTGTAGTGGCAAAATCTTAATCCTATTCTCAATCCTGGTTGTTTTTATACCTTTCACAAAGTTATAACAAGGAGAAATCTGTTTAAAAAATGTTTAGAATTTATTCTCAATAGTAATAAAACAGAAATGCAATCATCTTAACGGTATGGTTGAAATACATTAAGGCATCTTTGCTCAACAAACTCTTAACCTCCAAGGTAAAAGTAAAAAATAAATGTGACTTGTAAAGAATTGATGTAATTCAGCACTGGGTTAGCTGTTTTTAACCTTTTATTGCAAAAATATTAAAAGTTCAATGATTAAAAAAACAACAAAAAAAAGGGCATCTTGTGAGATGAATAGTCAGAATAAAGAATCACTTTAAAGAAACACATTGCGTATGTTTTCCTGTATTGTTATTCTTGCACTGTGGTTGTAAATGAGTACTTCAAACAATATTGAAAAGCTCAACACATTTTTTACTTGATACATTGTGAAGGGCATGACACAGGCTAATTCTGTGGATGTGTACGCTCAGTTGGCCTGCTGGTTATGAACCTGACGGCCTCTCAGGGAACAGGGAGCGCACATCCAGACCGGTTTTGTCCGCACACCTCAGCGGTGCCAAGGTCTCTCACATTCTCTGTAAGTACGCTCTACTGAGGAGCTTCACTGAAGCATTCAGCCTTGTCCAGTCCCCACAGATTCTCATTTCACAGGTGACTGTGGTCGGCTTCAAGCCTGTCTGTGCTGCAGACATAACCATTCAAGCTTTCCAGATAAATGCAGGGAGTCATTCTTAGCATTCCCTGTCACCACTGTGTGATGTTTGCTCCTTGCCTCTCTTAATAACTCCCAGACAGCCAACAAGTGTGGTAATATGTGCTTGTGTATTCATTTCAATTCTGTCATTTGAAGTTGACATTTTTAAATACTGCCTGGGATTATTAGGGCAGTTGCTCAATATGCAAAGAAGTAGCATGTTTTCGCGTTTTTTTTGTGTTTTTTTTTTTCTAAATGTAGTTCCAGTAGGTACGAAAACATCTGATGATAGTTGGTAAATACGTGTAATATATTCTGAGGATGCAGCACTAAAACATGATACAGTCAGTTAATTTAAATTCATGTAAAGTTTTACAGCAGCACAAGAATATAGGTTTGCTCTTGCAGACCAACCCAGTAATTTTTATTTGCATACAATGTCATTATAATTCAAACGGAATATGTTAGTGGGAAACCTAATTTGAGATGCCCAATAGAAATCTCCTAATTTGATTGTCTTTAGAGCCACAGGTGTGAAAGGTGTTTCTGTTTCTGGTTAGAGATTAGTTACCTGAAGTAGATAACTCTCTTAGTGTTTTTGTTAAAAACTTTATATTTGACCTCCTAACAAGTATATACTGTATGTGCCATCATCTATTACCTTTATCAAATCATTTATGAAAAAGTTCAATATCAGGTCATGTTTAATGGGTTTAATTTTGTACTTAATAGCTGTGTTAAATAGATAATGTTTTGTTACAGTAAAGACTGTATCGGTCCATGGTCCATTGGAATGACCTTTCTGTGTGAAACACTTTATGAAGTGTCTCTTGACAGAGTAGTTATCCACTGATAAAAAGTAAAACAGGATCATATTTTTGTTTCAGTGTTATCTGCACTTGACTTTGTTCAAAATGGTGTTTACAGAAGTGGCATTAACTTTTTCAAACAACTGACTTGAACAAAGCTGTTTCTCAGATCAGAAGCAGGATATCACCCTTGTGATATCCTGCTACATATCACAGGCATCTATTAGGAAACCATTTTAGGACACATTTTTTTCTGTTTCATTCAGAAAGAGTTATTATAAGGAAAAAAACAAACAAACTTGGCGATTGACGTATGTGTATCTGTGCACCGGTTTGCTTTACTCTTATCTCTAACACATTTATCTGTCTTTATGCTCAGACTTTATTGATGATGTAAAAACATACATACCTAATATTATAAGCTGAAGGTCTAAACTATTTAAAAGGAGTAGATTGTGTTGAGGTGTTTCTTTACTCCAGTCCTATCAGTATTGTGTCAGAAAATTCATGTTAAGGTTTTCTATGTACTGAAGCAGCACTTAAATGCGTTCTGTCACATCTACCAGCTATAAGGATAGCCAGTATAACAGTGAGAATAATTCACGAGTGAAGGTTTTTCTAGTTCAAGTACAGAAGCAGAATCAAAATTATCCACACATGTTGATCTCTTACAATTCAAGCAGGGAATTCTGTGCATAAGAGGAGCTTTATTGGTAGCTCGGTCAAACTAAAATACATTTCATGCGAGCAGAGAGAATCACCCGGCAAATGCTAGGCTGCAAAATAATCAACGTGCTAATTAATGTTGGAAATTGTAAATTGAAACTTGATGTGGTGTGACTGTACAAAAAAAAGCATTAAAATGGTGAATTCTGAATATGAACTTATTCTGTTTTAACCTGTGTGAACTGAAAGTGCAGCTAGTTCTGGTGAAAAGTGAACTTGCACAACAATGGTTTGAATGGAAAAAACACCAAAAACCAATTCTGTTTCAAAGTTTGTTAAGTACAGAAATATCACTGCTAAGGACCACAGATGGCAAAAGTCTTCATAATGATTAGCTAGGAGAATAATCATCTCCTGCATATCTTAGATCATTTAAAAGCTTTTGAATTTCTCATCTTTCATCAATGTTAAGATGCTAAGAGAGTTATCTATTAAAGGTAAATTACTGATGGGCCATTTCCTCTCAACAGAACCCAGCTTAAAAAAAATAATCCACAAAAGCCCCTTATGGTTGCAGTAGAAGATTAATAATTAGCCACTGTAGCCACTTCCTACCTGTTCAATTATTGATGACATTAAATTATGACAGTATGTATCCCTTTAAACTTGAAGTAAATATTTTAAACTATACTGAGTGATCACATCTTAAACAAAATGTTAACAGAGCTGTTTAACCATAGAGCTACATAACAGTAAATTAGTAGCATCTTCTCTGCAGATAAAACAGAGAAGAAGAAAAAAAAAAAAAAAAAAACGTCTTAAAAATGATTTTAGGTTTTCCACTGCTGAAGCTAAGTTAAGAAACTGGCAAGATATGAGCATATTTTGCAGATTATGGAGTTGGTGCAAGGCAAAGTAAATAAAATGTTAATCCTAACCTTTCAAGTCAGCTGTAGCGCAAGGCCACTGCTGAACAGATTTTGTGAGTATTTATAAGTTTGTGCAGATTCTGTTTAAAACAATAGATGCATCTACAGCCCAAAACGATTGAAACTGTAAGAGAGATAAAGAAGCACAACTCTGAATTTGCATTCACAGAAAAGGAAATTTAAAAGAATTGTTTTTCCTTCACAAATCAGTAAATGGCTTAATGTTCTATGTAATTAAATTCTAACCAAAGCGGTTCCTGAATCCTTTTGCACTTAGATGATCATCACCTCTTTAAAATATATTATCTAAACATTTATTAAGCTTATTGTACCTTTTTAAGGTGCATAATTTAACCACATCTCTTTTTACATTTTCTTCAGACAAAAAAATTCAATAAAAAAAAAACAACAAAAAAAAAACAACAAAAAAAACCCTCAAAGTGCATACTATATTTATTTTTTCCAATTGGAAACCTATGTTTATATTCGCCATATGTGAAATAAATGTAAAGATTTTTTTTTTGTTTTTCAAAATAAAATCTCTGAAGAAGAGTTTGTTGGATCCTCATCAGTTTTAGAAACTGAAATGATTTCATGAAATATAAAGTCTAGGGATGGCACTGCATGATCTTTGGAAAAGTGGAAAACCGTGATATGGATGACTACTCTCTTTCTCAGAGCAGAATCCTGCAGCATCAACGCTGGTAGGCTGAATGCTCTTTGCTTGACTGTGGCTCCAATGTGCTTGAATACAAAAACTGCCAGAGAGGAGAAAAAAGGGGGACAAAAACCCTGCAGTCCATATCTCGCTTGTTGCTCCATCATTATCTCCATTGTCGGTGCAAAGTTAGAGCTAGCAGAGCCAGCATGGTGGGCAGTGCTATGGATGGTGCATGGTGCGGGGCAGAGTCCTCCATAGGCCCGCTCCGGTCGGCTCTCACCACTGGGGTTTCGGTGGCAGCGCTGTACATGTCCGTGGTGCAGCCCTCTGTGCAGCCGCTTCCGCTGCCTGAGCCACTGCCTTCATCACCTGAATTACAAGAGCAGAGCAAAAAAAAAAGAAAAAAGAAAAAAAGACAAAAAAATGTAAGAGTTCATCATTGGTAATTCAAGGTTGACCTTTGAATTTCTGAGGATAGGTCATATTCCTTATAGATGGAATATTGTACCCTCTTACAAGTTTGCTAAAACAGATTTTGTACAGAATCTCCTTTACTTAAAGTTTGCTTTAACATTTTCAGGGCAGTAAGCAGTAGATTTTGTGTTTTTAGTAAAGAATCATAGTATCCTAGCCAGCTACATAGGGACACTCAATCTTTGAGTTTTCACATTTAGTTTCTTTACCGTCATCCCAAGATGATCAAATGACCATTAAGTCCATTAAGACCAAATACATAGCAACCAAAGAGCAAAATAACTTTTTTAAACTCTTATGCAGAAGCACTCCTTTTACATTTTGCACATTTCTTCCCAGAGGATTGCAATACATGACAGATAAGCATCAGTAACAATACACATACTTCAACTGTAGAGAAGGACTTCATGATTAAAAAAAATATATATATTTGCAATGTCTTTGTCTGTCTTACTCATGTAAGAAGTGTTTTTCCATGTTCAAACAATAAAGATAAAAAAAAAAAAAATACTATGACAGCTGCCTAAAGCAAAGCAGAAAAAGCATTCTGATTCATTCGCCTGCATTGCAAAAATGGCTAACAGCTTACTTGAGTCCTGAAAGCTGATGTCATTGCCATTGTATGCGTTTCTCAGCTTGTTGGTCATCACCCTCAGAGCCATGATCTGCTGACGGATGAAGGTGTCGGGTCGTGTGATGTCAACACCCACCTCGGGGTTATTCATCTGGTTGGTTAGGCCGTCCTTTTGGACTTCAGGAAAGTATCTTTATTAAAAACACAAAACAAAACAAATTCAATTAGCCGGGAGGACTTTTTAGAAAGGCACTCTCTATGCAAAGATATAATTCAGAAATAATTATCGTCACAGGCTTTAGGAAAATAAGCAGCACCAAACAAGTGCTTGGAGGGTAGACTAATTCCACCCATAATTGAAAGACGTCTAATTTTCATAAAGCGATTGGAAATAGGCTCTTTAGGTTTACAGCAACATTTGAGAAATGGGAATTTGACCCCATAATGTCAGTTAATACACTGACACACTTGTGAGGTATTTCTCCGGGGAAAAGTATGTCAGCTGCCTGCTCTCCTGGTGGATAAATAGGCTGCGGGTCGCCATGTGACAGAATTCCACAAATCATGTGACACAACAACGTTTGTTTTCCCATAAGCGCTGATCACTCAAGCTAACATATACCCCTGAAATGTCACTGAATTTGAAAAGGTAACGTTTTTGTTTGTTTGTTGACTTAAGGATGACAAAAAAAATAAAGAATGACATCCTACATTAGGAGCCGTGTAAACGTTTACATGTTGCTTGAATCTTTTCACATTTTGTCATTTTAAATACAGTTTTATGCATTTGTATTTCCTTTTACGTGATACACCAACACAAAATCAGTGTTATAATTATTAGGTGAAACAAAAGAGAGAAAATCACATTGAAAATTTGTGTGGGATGCATTCATGTTGAGTTTTATTTAATATGACACCAGTAACAAAACTGTAGTGCAAGCAAATGAATTTTCAATCAGCTGAAAACTGCAGATGTACCAAGAAATTTGTAGGTCAGGCACTCCAAAAATCTGACCTTTATGAAAGAGCATTAAGACGAATGTTGTTGTTGGAAAAAAAAAGAAAAAAAAAGCCAATAAGAAGCACTATTTACAACAAATATGCAGGGGATTTTGCTAACATTGGAAGAGGGCACTCTGCTCAAATCAGGCCGAAACCAAACTTTTGCTCTTTATTGCAAAAAAAGCTAACATTGCACATTACTCTGAATTTGCTATACGCACAGTGAAAAAAAGTGCTGGGGATTTTTTTTTTTTTTTATCATCAAGGACAAGAAAGGTGGTCAGAGTTGACAGGAAGATGCTGAGTAAAAATTACAATCTGTGCTTGAGCTATTTTACAAACAAGAAAAAGCAAGACGTGCACAGCTGGTTCTCTAAACGAGTTGCAGGTGCAATTGGAGGAAAATGTGTACCTTAGCAGAGCTTAACACAAACAAGGGTCACATATGTAAAAGATTCTCCAAACATTTATCATTTTCTTTGAACTTCATAGGTATTGCTGGTCTAACAATCAATGAGATTGACTAACATGATAAAACACATTGAAGTTTGTAGTTTATAATGGCTAAATATGTAAACAACACTCAGTAAAGACTTTTGCAACTCAAAAAATGAAAGTCAGTGGGCAGTCGAAGTTGTTTTTTTTTTTTTTCACGTAAAGAAATCAGATTAAGAGCTAACACCGAGCTGGCACAGCCAAACAAAGAACAAAGAGAAATTGATTCTCTCAAAAAAACAACAGTACAATTCATACAACTCATTACATACTGAAGGAAAACCGTAACGATAAAAATAAAATTTTTTAATATATATTAAACGGCTCTAAATGAAAATATGCCCAGCTCCTCCACAGTGCACTGAAATGAGAAAAAAAAAAAAAAAAGCTTGCCTCTTACTTCTAGGATCAGACTGCTTAACGTCAGGCACGCTGAAAAGACTTTGGACTTCTAAGTAACCTTATGTGTTAGCCTGCATTAAGCTGCGGGGCTGGAGTCCCCTTACCTTCCCTTGGTGTGTCCATTCCAGCAATCGTCATCACTGGCGTTTCCGGCAGTCACTCTGTCCTCCACACACATTGCCTCGGGCAGACTCGACCAGAACTTCTTGGACAATTTCAGTTTCTCTTTTATGTCGACAACCTAAACAAAGACAGGGGCTGTTAGGCAAGACATAAAAGGACAACTGTGTTTCAGTGAAGCTTTTAAAACACGTGAAAAAGCTTTGGTTTTATGTATTTAAAATCTCTTTTTTTTTTAATTCTTAAACATTGTTTATTAATGTTAATACACAGACATCAGATATATTCAAAGTAGTGTCTGACATGAGATCAAAATACCAAAAAAAAAAAAAGAATATTTGTTCTTAAAGTTGAAATAGAAACAGTAAATGGGCTGAATGTACTTTTCTAGTTCTATGCAGCACTCGAAGCACTCACTACCACACACACACTCATACACCCATTGCAAAGATTTGTGGGTAACCTGAGATTAAGTGGCTTGCCCAGGGAAACATTGACATTTGACACGAGGAAGCTGGAACTGGACCTTCGGATTACAAGGCAAATAAAGAAAAAACATCACGGTCTTTTCAAACAGATTGTAGCAGGACTGGGGTTACTATTACTTAGTTACAAAAAATATATTGGTAAAATAAAAAATAAAAAAATATTAATAATATATAATTTTGAATTTGAATAATTTTGGTCTTAACCAAACATAATCATATTTACTGTACAACTCAGACATGTAATAGCTATATCGTTAACTGTCCGTGCATAAGTTCATCAGTTCATACCTAAATATATGTGCATTTTCATTGAAGCTGTATATCAGTGGTATGAGTGATGAGTTTTATTATACAGTAGGTGTAGATATGAACAGTTTTAAAGTGTATATAACGAATTAGATGGGGTAAAAATTCACTTCTTCCAAATCATTTTCAAGCAGGAAAAAGCTGGGTTTTAGAGATATTCTTATTACTTTTATAATCTACGACCTCACTTTATGGTGTTAGGCATCATTTCTTTGTCACAAAATGTAATTTTATACTTGTTTTATTTTCATTTAAATTTGTTACGTGCTCATTTGAAATAACGATTTTATTCATCCATTCGCCTTCAATATTTGACGTGAAAAGCCTTTCCAAACTCTTTCCAGGCGTAAATGTCTGGGATTCAACTCCAAGACATGAAGCCTCTTAGACTGCTTGAGTTGAACTTTTTTGCTTCTGTTAACTGTTAAATATTTGCATAATAAAAAAAGTAAGACCATGCAGGCTTGCAGCAATAATTTCAGCTCGAATGTCAGACCTAAATGGTCCCTTTGCATCCCAGCCATGTGACACAGTCAGATATCGTTCCCTGACTTAAGCTTGTTGAACTCAAATCTTTCATCAAACACACAGAATTTGACATATTTCACTGCAGCTGAAGGAAAGCGTGATAGCAGCAGGTTGGCCCCATTATCTTTTTCCGTCTGACTTGCTGTTGGCTTACGTGAAATTGTGGTGAACCTGAGCAGAACATGAAAGGTGCTGCACTGACTGTGTGACGCCGCTGTAGGCCCCAACTCTGCTTTTGATGTGTTAATCCTGTCACACTGATGCCAAAGCACTTCAGCGGCTCTGATACTGCCCAGAGGGGTCAGGGCTGCACTCAATACAAGAGTTTTGACTGGCAATGTTTGACTAAACCTCGCACATTAAGTTTAGTTTCACAAATAAGAGAGATTCACAGCTTCACTCTGGCATCTGTCGAGGTGGGTGAAAAGTGTGAATTTAATTGGGAGTGACTCCCATTTTAGCAATGCAAATATTTGATTAGCACATCTGTTAGGCGCAGTTGCAGAAAATAAACAGTTTACTTCTTACAATTATTTACGCACAGAGGGGGAGATGAGTTTCGTGTGAAGTACTGACGTAAAAAAAAAAAAAAAAGATGTGTTTAATTGTGGATTTATTCTGCAAAATGAATAAACTGTATTCTTTCAACCAGCTGGAATAATCTAACTGTTTTAGAGGCGGCATTTCAAGGGAATCCAATAGGATTAATATAAACATTTAGGATTAAGTTAGAGTATTGAAAATGGTAGTTGACTGAAAAAAAATAAGAGGAGTGAAATAAATATGACACTGGGAAAGGTCTGCCTTTTCTGTCATTGCTGAATGAATCCATAGCGTCAATGCAATGAGCATGCATACTGATGCAATACACTCAAATAAACACTAGATGGCGGTGTGCTGCTAGTAAACGAGGAGCTGACGGCAACAAGAATGAAGCCTGGAAATTAAACTAATAAAAATATGTCAAAGCGACAATCTCTTTTGCTAACGACATCTGACTCCGGTTAAACCGGGATCGAGTGCATGAAACTGTCGCATGTGGAGGGAAACAAAACGGCATAAACACATCTAACACATCATTAGAATAACAACGGAACAATTTGTCTTAGCATATGAGGGAGAAGCTTATTACAATCAGCTATTACAGCACTGACAGCTCTGACATCCTCATTAAAATCACAACAAGGAGCACAGAAGACAACACTTCCACCTCCTCCCCTCAGACCAGGATATTATTCTGTATTTGTTTTCACTGATATGCTTACAAATGGTTTTCATGAGGGGTGATAGCGGCTCCGGCGCTAAAATGGCTCTGCTCTATATTAAGGATTTACAAGACGGCTGAAAGGAGGGTTCTCTCGGTGTGTGATTCCTGAATATCAAATTATAAGCAGATTACAAAAAAATAAATAAATAAATCAAAAAACATTAAGAGCGTAGATTTTTTTTCTTCTATTTTTTCACCTATGCAGAAAATGCCACATATATGAAGGATTAGTATTCAATGGTGAGTTTTCAATCTCCAGTTTTAATAAATTAAATTGCAAAGCACTTTGGTTCTAAGTTCATATATTCTTTATTTTAGAGTGATGGAAACATTTCATTAAAAACATGAATTTAACTTCACTGATAGTTTTTGGAATATTTCTGATGACTTTCAGACTTTTTGGTCTGACTACTAAGACTTACAAGAAATAAACATAGTTCTCCCATTTTCATCACTAGTAACAACATTTACTATTATTTGCTTTTAGGCAGTATGCCTGTTCTTGCTCTAGATTTGTAAAAAGTAACTGGCTTCAAAGTCGAAACACCTTTTGATTTACTGTTGCAGGTTGTAGTTTTGGAGACTCTCCGTTGACAGTGTAAATGCCAACGTTTTGGTCTGACAGACCATGAACATCTCAGGTTCTGCACCTCGGCCTCAAGCTGACTTACTTTCTGTAGAAGAGCAAACATCGAAAACACAACACCACGTTTACTTCAAACAAATACAAAACATTAAAAGAATCAGAGCTTTTGGGGTGGCCTAGACAAAGTCTTGATTTGAATCCGATTGAGATACTGTGGAACAATCTTAAATGAGGCCATTCAAGGTGGAAAACCATCGGGTGAGATAAAACAATTCTTAATAGAATAATTGACCAAATGTACTTTTAATATACAAGACTCCAGTTAAACCAAGGGCCTGAGCAGAGTTACTGCCACCAAGCTCGGCACAGACAGTTATTATGATTAGGGGCCAGTTATGTTTATTTTATTTTTATTTTTTTTTACATTGGGCCAGGTTGGTTTGGAAAGTTCCTTATCTTCATAAGAGAATCACAATTTCAAAACTTTGTCTAATATTTGAATTTGTCTGATGATTTGAAACGTGTGCCTGTGGCATTTAAAGCAAAAATAGAAGAAATGCGACACACAGGCTAAGCATCGTTTCAATGTACTGTTTTTTGACAGTACAATGATATATTCCTGTTTTCTATATCCTGATCTGACAGTTGCTTTTGCCAAGTGTGTTTTGTCTGATTTAGTTCCCTCTGCTTTCTGTAGCACCTTTTGCTCATTATGAACCTCTGGATTGCATAATCTACTCCCTACTTAGAACCTTTCTTGACTTTATAACATTTATATTATTATTATCCATTTTCACATTGCAATTGAATTATAAATCTACAATAATTAGCAGATGGACTTTAAATTTATGGTGCTATGCAAAAAATAAAAAATAAATAAAAATACCACAGACATAAAAAAACACATTTACTTTTATTAGCTGCTTATGTTTCTTGTGTTTTCCTCTGACTAGACTCTTTCTTACTAAATAAAATAAAATAAAAAAACATATTAATTATGCAACAGATAAGATGATCAGCAGGAACACTCACCCATTTAGGTCAATCTTTACACCCCTTTGACAATACAGTGCAAATAATAGCTACTCAGAAATGATAGTTGAAAAATAAATTAACTTTATCACATAAAATAAAAAAAGATTTCCAGGGAATTTGCCAAATAAATCACACATGGGATGCAACAGGGATGTGACTATTAAGACAAAACTCCAAAATACAAGCAGAAGTATCCTTAAAGGAGATTATTCTAACTGCTTAAAAACGAAACTCATCACTTTGCATCCTCTGTGATAGCATGAGGATAAAAACAGCTGCTCTAACGTAGCTTCGTCCGTTATTTCCTTTCTTCCGCAGGGTCTGTTTTTTCTCACAAGCCCCATTTTCTTGCCTCCTGTCGTGAACCATAAATAATTTCATTGTTTTCCTCTTTCTGTCTACCTTCTAGCTTCAACTCTGCATGGCTTCCTTCCTGTTCCTCGCTCTCTTTCCCTTCCTCTCCCTCTTTCTTACTTTAGTCCAAAGCAAAAGTGAAGGTTTCATGGCTAGCTGACCCGTGATCCCGGAGCAGAACTCCAATTCAGGGGTGATTTGAGAATAAAACCTTGGATTTTCCTCTCTTCTGATCTGCAGTGTGGGCTCAGTCTGCTCTGCACTTCTTGGTGAGGTTTTTTTTTTTTTTTTCTCACCCATCATATATCTGTGACCTCCTCCTATTCACTACACCTTGACTGAGTCACAGTATCTCACATATTTGTTGACACTGCACAACAACCCTTTAGAATAAATAAAATGAAGTTTTTTTTATTAACTGAGTCAAATACTATTCTTTTTCATCTTGCATAAACACAGCACAAGGTAGCACCTGCAATGATCTGCATTGCAATAAAGCTAAAATATTAGTTCTCCAAACACCACCACACTTTTAAGATTGCTTATAAGGCCAACAG